ATAACCGTGGAGCCGAACCACTAGATATCAGTAACTCGAAGAATAAGAATGGAGTGGAGAACACTTGGCAAGCACTCTCATATATGACAGGTAGATTGCCACTATCCCTCAAGAGGAAGGTATATAACAGCTGTATCTTGCTGGTACTTAGCTACGGAGCAGAGACCTGTGAAGGCTTACAAAGAGGGTTCAGCCTAAATTGAGGACGACGCAGCGAGCCATGGAAAGAAATATGGTAGGTGTAACCTTAAGAGACAAGAAGAGAGCAGAACTGATTAGGGAACAAACGGGGGTTAAGGATATCATAGTTGAAATCAAGAAGAGAAAATGGACATGGGCCGGGCATGTAGCGCGTAGACAGGACGACTACTGGTCATTAAGGGTAACTAACTGGATTCCTAGAGAAGGAAAGGAAGTTAGGGGGAGAGAGAAGGTTAGGTGGGCAGATGATATTAAGAAGTTTGCGTGTATAAATTGGCAGCAGCAAGCACAGGACCGGGTTAATTGGTGGGACATGGGAGAGGCCTTTGTCCTGCAGTGGACGTAGTCAGACTGATGATGATGATGATGATGCTGATGATGACGACGACGACGATGATGATGGTGATGATGATGATGATGATGATGATGATGATGATGATGATGATGATGATGATGATGATGATGATGATGATGATGATGATGATGATGGTGGTGGTGGTGGTGGTGGTGGTGGCAAACTTGCCACTATGCGTGCAATGCTAATTGCCACGCGCCGTCTTGGGGATATCTTGAGCTTGTCGCGATTGTCGCCGACCGGAGGTGGCGTGTGCTGACGAGGAGTGGACGCCTGCCGGGAGACCCAAGTGACCATTGCTACGTTCATACCACTGTTCAGACATACGCGTAGCACGCGCGAGTGTCAAGGATGCCCAGACGGTACATTTTTTATGCGGCGCACATAGAAGTGGCATTACGCCTTGAACCTTCACTTTTCCAGCGGACCTCCGCATTCACCCACAGAACATGCGATGAATCATCCAAAGTTAAACCTTTTAACTTCACTCGGCAATTCTCTGGGACAACTGAACGGAGATAAACAAACATTTTGCATCAATCATAGCATGCTTGCAGGACCTAGAAACTCGGCAGTGATTGCTTTTTAGTTGCTTTGTTACTTCTAAGATCACTCAGAATTTGACTTAGCAGCTTGTGTGCGTTGGTAATTCTTTACAAAGCATATACCGCCTGAAACATACGGGCACAAGGAAGACTGACACGCACGGCTCTGTGTGCGTGCTATTGTGTTTAAATATGTCGCACCACCATTGCCATTTTGATGCAGTGATTTTGGAGCAATAAAATCTCAACATGCAAAAGTCTTGAAGTATCATGTAAACTGGTGTGTACGCTTGCAAAGAGAAAAGCGCGCTTCGGGACTCTCTGTCCCGTAAGTTCAAAACGGTAGTACATAATGTACGAAGTACAGAGATCACAAAAACACAGCTGCAAACTCGGAGAAGTACCCACACATGGAAATTAGAATAACTTCTAGTATTTTGGCACAAGCATGGTATGTAAAATGAAGTAGACTGCAGTTCGTTTCATTTTTGCTAATGCCTCTGCGCTACTATGATATATCAGGTAAGTATGAATATCTCAGAGTACATTTTTTCGGACCTAAAAATGCTCTTTGTGTATGCGGAAAGAAAATTTCGAATAGGTGTAAGTAATTTCCCTTAGAATAAAAAAAACTGTTGAGACCTGAGCACAACACACAACCAGTGTTTTAGTAACAATGTTAAATGGAAAATGAACATTACGTGACTACAATTTACGGTACAATTTTTCTAATATCGCCTATACTTTCGCTGGCATGAATGTCAGTCATTTCTCTATAATATCTTTTTCCAACGAACAGAACAAATTCTTAAATTTATCTTTTTTTGTTTATTTACAGCGAGGGTCTCGTTTTGGCAGACTTAGTGCCTTCAGCTGGTATGAAAGGTATTATTGGTCAGCTGTCTGCTCACTGACGTAGTAAGTCACGCCTATGGACGAAGAGAATGAGTGTTCCACACATGCTGCAATGACAACAGGCGGCGCTGACTGTCGCTTCCAAGCTCAATGCACATAGAAGGAAAATAAAAGGAAAAGAACGGCAGGGAGGTTAACCAACCTATAGGCAGCCGGTTTGCCACCCTGCGCATGGGAGGGTGATGGGGGAGGTGAAATATAGAGCAAAGAGGGAAGAGAGATAAACACAGCACATTCGACAGCACACGCGCGCACACTCGGTCAAACAATGCACATACATACCCATACCCAATAAAGTGGATGGGGTGGTAGCGGCTGCCATAACTGAGTTGGAAGTGTATCGAACGAGTTATTCGAAGGTCGCAAGTTCGGTTGGTGCGGACGGCAAGTTATCTTTCCATCCGCTTTTTTTCTTTACATAAACTTTAATACTACTTCTAAGAATATTCTCTACACTTTCCTGGACACAGTTTTCTGCCATTTTGTATTAATATATATCACTTAGCAGCTCATATATGCCTCAAGACCACTATAGTTGTAGCACAATTTTTTTCAAGACGCACAACTTAGAAAACTCGACAAATTTTGTCACTTGAATACAATCTGCACTGGTGCACCAACGTTGTAAAGGTTCAACGCATCTTCATGATAAGAACTTGAGTCGAAATGCAAACTAACAACACTTGTCGATACCTTGCAACTTCAACATAAAGCACCACTCCAGACGAGAATAATGAAACAGGGAAATATAATGAGTACAATACTTCTAAGCATCTGTCAGACAAGTATGAGCAAATGTCATTTAAATACACAGTTGTTAAAAGGTTGAAAACACATCTGGCAATCACGGTGGTTGAATAGATCTGTAAGGTGGAAATGAAATGTGTCGCTTCCGAGTATCTATTAAAGAGAAACATTACGCAAGCATACAGAGATTACAGAGAAAGTCGGTAAAAATTAGTGACCAAAGATAATGAAACTGTGGAACTCGATTGGAAGCTACCAGAGCCAACGTTTGTGAAGAATTCATCTTGACTCACTGTGGAGATGGCCGCTGTATATCTACGCAAACACACCCACTGGAGTGCAAACGTAACCAGACCGCTGCAGTGTTCTCCGTTCCGCAAAAGAAAAGTTTCAGTTGACGTGAGGTGAGGCACGATGCGAACTATGAATGCTACAAGAAAAATGAGATTTCAATTATTCTTTTGGAGCTCCCCTCTCTCAGTCGGTGATATAGTGTTTTTTGCCTTCGCTAGCATTCCAAACCAATTACTTTTTCATGGCATCATCTTTTGGCGATTGTAGCACGCGCAGTATTATGCATTTTTGGGTAAATATGCGTACGTACTTTGTGTAGTCCGTTTCGCGCTAGCATTTGTTTTTGAACACACACAATATGGATCGGACTGTGGCGCTACTAATTGCTGCCGTCTTAGATGCAATTCAACCACGTGGAACATTAAAGCGAAATTTGTTTTAATTTCAAACATCACCACGACCTCCAGGCATGGAGGTGGGCGAGTTTAAAGTGATGCCGGTCGTAAAAAAACACTTCTTAGTTATATACTCTTCTGGTCATTTTATAGTTATAAGAATGTCATTGATCTTTCAACTCCTTACAGTCCCCTCTCAAAATGTTATGCGCACACAAATGTAAGGACAGCGTTAAGAGCAGGTATGTAGATTAAAACACGCAAAGTTCCCTACGAATTAGCTTCTGTTAGCTTCTGAAAGACAACAATAAAATATCCAGCCCGGTTGATACCGGATATCCAGGTGATAAGCCCAAGTAATAGGTTGTCACAGGGTGTTACATTGGTTTAAGAAAATAGCTAAAAGTTTTGACGTAAGCATTGTGTTCCATTCAAACGAAAATGTTGGGAATGCTTGTGCTGCGATTGAAAAAGGGTTAAAGGAACATCTGGGGTAGATTGCACGGTAAAACATCGCAAGCTTGCTGTTTCCTGCTATTTTGTTGAGGTCTGTAGGATTCAACTCTTATGCGGAAAGGTGTATACAAGACTAACCCCCAAATGCATCAACAAGAGCTTTGCCAGCACAGTACTACCTTAAAGAGAACGACGACGACACACACTTCGGCCCATTGCAAATCACGTCTGTGAATACCTTTTTTTTTCATTACCACTGTTACTATGCTGAAAAAAAAAGTGCTCGTGAATTCGCTGCAGCGTTTTTTATGGGACACAATGAGAATTATTGTATATCTGAACCGTATGTTTGTCTGCTGGATGGCGAGGAAAGCAAGCTCATGCGTTTTGTTTACTTAGCGTGGTACATATAAAAGAAGCAAACAAAACGCAGACGTAAAATAAAAGGTAGATGCTCAGCTACTTGAAAGTTTAGCGTCTAAAACTTTTGATGCCTGTGCCGTTTTTTTTTTCTTCTATTTTCATCGCTAATACAAGCTTAGTCCAGGGTTAAGCAGGTTGTTCGACAGGTGACACTTCTCGACTGTTTTTCTGTTGTCTCCTAAACTTTCTGGGCACCCTAGAGTGTCAGTTTTTTGTTGCGTTCAGATTTGGTTTCATCAAACTTCAGTTCTCAGATAATATTCGTACGGTGTACTCTTTCTGTACTGCTTCGTCTTGTTCACACTGATATTTTGCAACATGCGTCCAGTGGACATTCGGATGTGACTTTCGCGGGCCAAACGTATCTCGAATACCGTAAGTTCCGCTTACGTTCCACTGATTTCTGGCTTAGGACAACGAGGACATTAGTTCCTGGTCCGGCGCATGGTCTTGCTTGGCTCCGGTCATGCTGATATGAACGGGAAATCCAAAGACTTGGCGCCTCTGTTCTGTGTCAACTTTTTGAGGTCGTCCGGCTCTTAAACTTCGCTTGCTCGCTTTTTGTTGGCGTGGGCTGGCGTGAAAGTGGCAGGCAATCGTCCATGCTCTTCCGCTTATGCTGTACTGCCCCGTAAGCACGCCCACTGTGAAAGTGAGAAAGAACGGAAGCATAGCGACTGTATATATAGACGTCATGGTGCTCACTCCTCATTAACTGAACTCGAGGCATGAGCGTGGGTTTCTCAGCGCTATCCAACGCAACGTGAGTTCACATTACCCTAATTACTGTAACGAAATTGCAAGGTTTTTTATGTCAGTAATGAAAATCTATTTCAGTAATGCTCTTAACTTACAGATATTAGGAGTTCCGGTATGCATAGTCTACACTATCACTATCGATTCGTACTTAGCCGCTATTTGGAAGCCAATGTCTGGCTTCTTTAGAGCACAGATATCCGCGGTAATGCAAAATAGCGATCTGGTTCTCGTTATCGTCTTGATAGGTGACAAGCCGCCGAAAAGAAGGCTTTTTTGTCGAATACCCCTAGTATTGCAATCTGTTATACTGACGTAATACTACTTCACTAACACTATGAACAATCTCGGTTTGAGATTTGGACAATTTTTTTTCTTAACTGCTATTTGGAAATCACTGGCTGTTCTGCTAATAACCCTAACAAAGTGACCAGCCTAAATGTTCGTTTACAAGAAACCTTGTCGTGAATGCAACTTGCTCTCTGAATACAGTGCATGAGCTGCTGTCGTGTATCGTAAATTCGCAATATAAGAGGATTGTTCTGTGTGGCCACTAGAAGAACCCCACAATGCTGGACGCCTTCTGAAGGCGGGTTCTGGTTTTTGCATTCATCTGTTTGAGTCCATTTATTTCTGCATTGACTTTCATCTGACTTTCGACGCAAGTACCAGAGCCAGATTCAGCTTTGTTGTGGCTGCACGCGATTTTTTATCTTCATGCTCTCAATGAGGTAGTGTTAGTTGACGAGGCAGCAGTTCACATTGTACTGTGTATTACTTGTTTGTTCCATGTTTTTCTGCTTCCTTTATGCATACTTGCTTGTTTTATGTATTCTTTATTTACAGACTACGATGGATTTATTCATTGTTTTAGAAGTAGTCGAACCTAACACTTATAAAGTAAAGGTCATGTGCAGGTGGACAACAACGATGAACTGGTGCTCTTTTTTTATGGGCACAAATGCAGAACCTCAGCGGCAGTCATTCGAATTCCCGAATAGCAGTACGTAATCCCGCAGCTTAGACATAGAGTGCAACTTTTATTTACTCGGAAACTGTATTATGGTATAGCACACCTCCATTTGTGTACTTAATAATTATATTGCAGCCACAAGAATTCGTGCGGTGAAATAGCTCTGGAATAGATGTAACACTAGAATAAAGCTGCACAAAAATAGCAAATACAACAATTTTAATGGTCAAGAGAATTTCGGGAGCATCAAGTACCTGTTTTATCACGTCAATTTGTTCATTCTCCTTGCAAAAACGGCCGCTGTAAGTGCACAATGTTTCCTCTGAGAAGCGTTCCCTATTTCCTTCTGATTAAATCAGTGAAGTGTCCAAGCCTGATTGGAAAATGTGTCAGACACATGAAATCCGATCGCGCTCAATACTGATTTGTATGTATTCAAATACTTCAAAGTGTTTCACATATTGTAATTTCTTGTGGTCTTGCAAACCATGCTCTTTGTGGGAAATAAGTAAATGTCTGCGTTATCCCTAGTCGCATAGAATCTACATTTCCGTGGATTTGTGAGGGCTTATGATAAACGGGTAAAGCATCATTCAGCAATGACCCAGTAAGTGCACAACTGAGACAAGTATCCTAGTGCACCTTCTGAAAAAATAAAATGTCAAGGTTTTCACGTAATTGCTTCGAGTGCCGTGACCTCATATACAAATATCGTTGCCGGAACTTCATCTGCACGTATCCTACATTTGTGTAGAGCTATCCAGGGTCATTCACATAATTCTACAAACCACGGGAACGACATTTACCATAAACCTAACACGCCACACTGGGTAAGGTAAACCTCAAAATCAATTTTCAAACGCCCGCTAAGCCTTTGTTTGGGTATATATGTAGACGTATTTTTTTAGTTATCGAAAGTCCACCTATTTTTATGGACGCATTGACTGCTTATGCTTCATAATTTCAAATCATGCCAAGAAATGTTTCTTAAACTCCTGGTATCACACGGTAGTCAGGCTAGAGAAAAAAATAGTAAGCTCAAGAAAAGAGTTGTTTTTCGAAATGAGTCAAATCCACCTAAACAGAAGTTGTTAAAACAGTGAAATATTGTTACAGAAAGTAAATACGACGCTGTCAAACCTATTACACGATATATTTTACATGCTAACTAGGTAAATTTACGGCCACAATCAATTAAAAATATACATTGAACTTTACTAATATTAGCATGATAACTTCGTATTTGGTCATTTTGAATTGCCACGATGAATCGGACGTGGTATTCTTACAAAAAATTTATTCAAATCGACTTGCAAGAGTGTTAAGACGGAGCTTTGAGAAAAAAAAACACTGAAACAAAGACAACAGTGCAGGTAACATTCTTCAACTATGCACGAGCCGGTGCGTCTTCTTCGCAGCACAATCAAGGCTCTTCGAAATCTTCTGTATTTTATCCTATTTATTGGCACACCTAAGCACATAGGCAAGATAGGCGAGCTCTTCATTCTATGCCCATGAACTTTACTAGAAGGCTTTACGAGAAGGTTGGTCACAACTTTTATTTTCATTTCATTGACATGATGAACGTACAGTGAGCATTAGGGCTGGCTTGTGCTAGTGCTCGATATAGCAAGCAACTGTGCTGCTATTCACGGCAAGCAGTACGCAAAATACCTCTTTGAAATTTTCCAACCATACCTTGAACAGCGACAAGGCTTCGACGAGGACCCGCTTCTAATACTCTCCTTCGTTTTACTGCAAATAGTGTACAGCACACTGAGAGGAACACCTTTTTTTCACTGTGTACAATTCGTTGAACCTTTTCTTGAAAGGTTTCACTGATGTTTCAGCCATAAGGGTGCACCGGAGATTCCTTTACTCATGTTTAAATTTAGACAGCCACACGTTCTTGCTTATCTGGCGGCAACCTTGCTTCTGTTCTTGTTGTCGTCGACGTCTAGGGAGAGTTGTCTCGCCGATATCTGCTATTTCATCAGAATCCGTGATATTTCAGCCTCCAAAAGCAAAAAAAAAACCTTGCAAAACCACCAACGAATCAAGCAGAGAACTGAGGCGCTAACTTGCAAGGGGGCTGCCAAGCTTGTTGGATCACGTGTTCACATAAGTGCTGTGCTATTAGTTTACCGGATTTCATTCATTTTAATTCATAAAGCACACAGATCTGGCTCAATTTTGTTTTGAAAAAAATCCGTAAGCACACGTACCAGGTTCTATTTACCCCAACTCGTTCCGATGGCTGTTTTAAAGGAATGTTGAGAATATGTGCCAATGAAACCTTATCTGGGCAAGTTAGGGCACCTGGATTCAGAACATAAAAAAAACTGGCAGATCCTACGTACAGTGGGAATCGATGATATGCGAAGCACGAAAGAAAAAGGTTGATATGTCACTTTAAAATCAGCACAACGTTGCGAGGTGGAAATGAATGATGCCATACAGTGACTTCCGTGTCATGATCATCATGTTTTGATGTGTCGTTTACCTTCGTCATCTACTGACGTCAAAAGACACCACGCTTAGTATATGTGGAGCTAGCGAAACTGCCTCGAGCACGCTATGAGCGTGGTATGTTGTCATGTTCTTACATGACACGCGTGTCAGGATTATCATAATTACCCTAGTGATACAGTTTTGTCATCCATTGACGTCACGTAACACCAAATTTGGTATATGTGGAGTTAGCAAAATGGTCAAGAGTGTATCAGGATGGGCCCAATATACCACAATGTAGCTTTGATGCGCGCGCACGCTGGGCACAGCGACGCTACATAAGCAAAACGCGAGCACTCTGTAGTCTGACGCCACGCCAGTCTGCAAGAAAGCCCTGCGCGTGCTCCATAGCGGTGGCCGTGACAGTATCAAGCACCACGCACTGATCTGGTTTCCTGCACATGTTGAACAGGTCCAAGGCGCTCCCCCCAACTTCAACGAATCTGCACACGAGACTGTGCGCGCGCTAACCGACCGCGCCGCTTCCGGGCGACGATTTGGGGCCAACGGGGTTGCGGTAAACAGGGATGCGCCTGCCACGTACAACGAAATAGCAAAACATTTTTACCTCGCGTGAAGACTATATACACTTCCTCATCCAAACTTCATACGCCACAGGCCCTTACGCTCAGACTACTGCAGACTGACACGCACCCTTATCTTAGATTATTTGACGCTATTTATCCTGGCTTGTTCCTTAATAGCGCTTCACCCGCATGTGGGGATGTATCCACGCTGGCGCACATGCTCTGGGAGTGCAAGGCAATGTACGCTATCCCCAACACAACATTGGTCAGGTGGGAGGCGGCCCTACGCAGCTCGCTCCTGGCCGACCAACTTTGGGCCGTCCAGCAGGCCCGCAGAGCAGTCGATATGCTTTGCCTATCGGTCCTGATGTGCTAGTCGCCCGCTGCGCGCACACGCGCGCCATACAAGACTAGAATAAAGTTTCGCAACCAACCAACCAACGCGCGACCGGCGCGACCAGCGTCCGTCGGCGCAGCCGGACGGCAACCGGCGCGAAATGCGACATGCTGCCTTTCGCGCCGATTTGTTACCCAGACAACACTGCGTCTCCCTCTTTTCGTGACGAAGGGACGCCGGACGCATGAAACGCGCATGCGTCAATGGATGGATGGGAAAACTTTATTTCGTCAGAAAGCAACTAAGGATGATTCCGTGTTAGATGGCCATCAACCCAAGGTTGGTGGCGACCTGTGTGGCCCACTCCACGACCCTTAACTGGACGACTGGGTCTGAGCTGGTCAACACGGCCTCCCAGTACTCAAGAGAGCGATCACGCATAATATCCACAGGCGGCGGCACTATGCTACATTCTCAAAGTATGTGATCATATGTTGCCACAGCCTAACACCATTTGCATTGCGGCTTAATCTCCTCCGGGTACATTTTGTTCGGCACGTAAGGTTTGGGAAAAGATCGCGTCTGCAGTTTTCTCCAGACGCATTCCTGCGCTTTAGTCAACCGCATGTGGTGGGTGGAATAAACCTCCGCTCTAGTTT